TATAAACTTTTAAATATCTGTAAAATTCTTTACTTGAAATAATTTTAAAAAGATTTTTTAAAAATTTCGAGAAACAAATATTTTAATATTGAAAGTAATAAACTTTAATTTTAGAGAATTTATTTTTTATTTGTAGAACTACGTGTAGAATGGATTTTTATAGTCGAGAGATATTTCTGTTAATTGATTTAAATATTTCACATTTTAAGCTTTTACGCTTTAACATTAGCTGCAAAGAATGCTGAAGTCAACCTTATCCATGATGGCGCCCAAGTATTTAGCCTAAGAGTCCCCTCAAAGGTTAGAGGCGGGAGTAGTCCTGTGCATCTTTTTGTATTAAGAAATACTCTGCTTTTCTCTGTTTTAATGGTAACTACACACTGCCTGCACCAGTAGGCAAGTGTCTCCAACTAGAGTCGCAGGTGTGCCGTAACAATAAGGGTGCATAGGCTGCAGTTTGTGTGTTTCAGCCTCCACGCTTGTCCCACAGCAGGCTGACGGGTTCGCGAAGTCATCTTGGGTAGCATAATAATTTTGTTGTTTACCATGGTGTTGGAAAGTAAGCCAAGCGACCATGCAAAATTTGGAAAACAAGAAAGGTGGTTAAACGATACCAGCGGCAACTTTCTTTGGCATTTGGTTAGTAATGCTATCAATTCTGGTCCGTCCTGGGTGCTTCAAGTCACGAAAGTGCAGGGAGTATATCAGCAATTTCATTGACTGTACTCAATTTTATGTCCATCGCCAAAGGTTAAGGTGTGTTACGGTTGCACACTTAGCAGCTAGGTGTTCAGCAGAGAGCACCGCCTTATCTTCATCGCTTTTTTTTTTCTGTCACTATCCCCATTATTAAGTGACAAAGGTGGTTTGCGGCCATGGTTTACGTTTGTTTTGGCAAATCGTATGAAGGATCATCCTTCCTCGGTCGTTACAAGCTACATCCTGCAGTTTTGTCTCCCCACAGGGCTGTTGTAAAAGAGGTTAACTTTTGAAAAAAAAAAAAAAAGATTGTGAAGCATCAGTTTGTCGTCGGGGTTTTGTATAGTAGCGACTAGGCGAATTAACCGGAAGCTTTAAAAAATAAGCTGAATTAAAATAATTTGGAAGACGACCAAGGCGATTAACAACTTCATGGCAGGTTATCGCAGCAGGAGTGGTGGCTGTTAGTGCGCCCTTACAACTATCAAATGCTTTATCTAATAGGGTGGACATTGAAGAGGTGATGTTCAGAAAATAGCAATGCTTTAACCGCTTAAATAAATTATGTCCAGTTTGTATTTGAGCGTTTGTAGCACTGTCTTCACCTTACTCCAATAAAAAGGGCAGGTGATCCGAAGAGAGCTCATCCAGTTCGGCAACCGATACTGACGGCGAAGGTCCCTTAAGAAATGGCTATATCTAGGGCGTCCGAAGTTCCTGTTCCTGCTTAAGTATTTTCCGTTAGGTTTTCTAACACAATTTTGAGCAGCTTGTTAGCAGTTAAAGTAGCCTAAGAGATCAGCGGGCAAGCAGCTTTTTTAGATCACTGGATAACAGCGACTGTGATAGAGTTTATAGACCCGTGATTATAACGGCCCACCTCTTTCAGTTAAATTGAAACGGATTCTTACGGTTTTTATGCTCTTTAGTTAGGGAGAGCAATTGGATTGTGAGGTACAATTAACCGTACCAGAATAGCTACCCCTCTGTCGCGTCTGTCAAGGCCGTTAAGACGGACGGTGTAAATGTAAAATACCAACAGATCGCCAGGTGACTTTTCCTTAACAAAGCGAAAACTACACCTTCATTTTGCAACAGCTACAGTAGTTCGTCCTTTTTGCAGCGCACGCCGTGGACATTCCACTACAAAAATTTTGGGTGGTGCAAAAGGGCAGGTCCTAGCAACCATTTCGTGCATCAGGTAGTTTATCACTCGAAGAAACGTTTTACGAAGACCCCCCTTTTGTATCTTTAAGGTAAGTTTTATTAAATAATAAAGTTTTTTGATCCGTTGTATATGAAAGACCAAAATTTTTAAATATGAAATTTTAGTAATTATATATATGTATAAATCTGTTAAAAAAGCGTGATGTTAGACCCGCACCAGAAGGAAACTTAATCTCTTAAAACTTGAATAGCACTAACCTCTTGTAAGAACACATAAAATAACTATATAGAATAACTTAAAACAACTTGCGTTTTATGGCGAATAACTATTAACAAACCCAATAATTTTTCTAAAAAATATTCCAAAGAACACTTTAAATTTGTTCGAAAACGAGATCATAATATGCATATTTTTTAAAGTTTCTTTGTTAAACCTTAAATGTTAGCATGATACTAGGAAAACGCTTCGAAAGGAGTACCTTTACAATTCTAGGAGACCTAAACAATCACTTGTTGACTAATGAGCTGTGGGTGTCAGTTATACTGGACTACAATATTGGGTTTTTAAAAGTTTACATTATACGCAAAATTAAATAACACTAAAGATTTACTGCGCAATTTATAATAGGACAATAACTATTTTGTTTTAAGGGTAGTGAAAATTTATCTATTAAAATTTGTTATAAGAATAATATTTATGAATTAATTAAGTTAAAATAAAATTAGGAAAACTATATCTATTATAGTAACTTAACTATAGAACCTATTCAGTTATTGACGGATTTTCATGAACTAGTACCTTAGTTAAATGACCCACAGTTACATTAAATGGTACTATTTTTGTTCTGCCCTGTTCACTTACATAAGCTTAAAATAAAGTTTTAAAGTCGTTAAGACGCGCCATCTACAAGAGGACGTTACATCTTCTGCGCGCCTTAACGATTTTTATAGTAGAAAACTCCTTTTCTAATTTTAAACTCAGAGCATTATTTTAATCCCATTAGGGTCTGACGGTGGTATGATAGCACTGAATAAATATTTTATAATTGCCTATTTAACAAGCTCAATACTTCGAAACTATAGAGTATAGATAAATTAAAAAGTATAACATAGGTTTATCATAAATACAAAAACTAATAATTTGATATTTCAGAGCTGCCTTAGGAGCACGACCCGTACCAATTAAATTAAACAAAAAACTAAAAAAATCATGTGTGTGCTACCACTTTCATAACCCCAATTGGTAATGTGTGCCCTCAAGCGCTCAACACTCACGTTACATACGTAATATAAAGGTGTGTTGGCTTTTATACAAGGCAGCTGTATATCTGATCCTAACCTATTTCGACTATGGATCACCCGACCGTGCTCGAGGCCGTTATAGGCTAGAATTTGTTTGTAGTGACTTTTAATTTTTTAAAGCTTAATCACATCCGATTACTGTGTGGAATGTGGAGGGCGTTTAGAAAAAAAACACGAGTTGCAAGAGTTAATACAACGTGACATATTAGATATCTGTGTCCTCAGTGAAACACCTCCATCCCCGTATGCACCATTTAACATCTGCAACTTTGCGATATATTGCCAGGATCGGTTGTACATCAGCGGTGGAGGGATTTCTATCCTGATCACGAAGTATCCAACATAGTTGGCATTACCAGCTCTGCAAAAAATCAAGGCGGGTGGTATTACACTTCACCTGGCTAGGCAGGGGCATATTACTGTGATAGCAATTTATAAACTTTCCAACTAGCCACTCATGTTGTTCAATCTTAACGCTTTTTTTAGTGCATGATTTTCAGATCATTCTATGCGAAAATTTATGTAAACACCCTTCGTAAAATAACCGGACCACAAACAGGAACGATTACACCCTTGAGGTTTAGGCTGAGGAATGCGGGTGGGAGCCGTAGGATCAAGTTGTCAACCCACATGACGAGGAAGACGGACACTATGAGAGTGCTGATATCACCTTGTTAAAAAAGATCTGCCTTCCACGGCTATTAAGGAGATGAATGAATTTGTGGTCGGATCATTTGTCTGTCCTGCTCGAATTGGGCGATCAAAAGAAATCAATAAAGATATTCCCCAAATCTTTCACGAACTGGAACAAATTAGCTGAATTCCTCGAGAAGGCGCCCTCACCGTTTATGACACCACTCGATATTCCCGCTAAACTAAACAATGCTGCTGTCGAATTTGGGTCAGCGGTGACAAAAGCTCACAGCAAAACAAAGACGACACGTGATTTTGTGTACTACCCTATACGCCTTCCTGGGGAACTAAAAACACTAATATGCGGGCGTAGGCTACTCATCTGAGTAGTCATGACTTATAACGCGTAGAAGACCAACTAGTGCTAAATCGCCTTCACTGGCTCATCAGGAAAAAGCTGATGGCGCACATAAACTGCCAATGGGCTAACAACTGAAACGAAGTACAGGCAGCTGGGGAAGGTTGTCAAGCGAGTTAAAAAAAAATAGCATTCGACTAGACCACCACTTCGCAATGGCGATACCGTAGCCGAAAGCGATGAAGATAAAGTCAAATTTTCTGCTGATCGTCTAGCTGCCAAGTGATTGCCGTCTTCCCCATCAACCGTCGGTAATGGACCCTTTGTGCCTAATCTTATCTCGACTACAACATAGGATTTTCTAGAGCTGTCTGCCATAGGAGAGCACAAATCAATGGTGATATTACTACGAAAGTAAAAGGCGCCCAACTCTGTCGGCATCACTAACCCTATATAAAAACAACTGCCAGAAGCTGCTATGAATCATCGATGCTGCCTCGTCAACTCAGTATTTCCACTATATTCCCAGGCGATTGAAAATGACGGTAGTCGTGATGTTACATTAGCCCTTTAATGGCAGTTGGTAAGTAGCTAAAGCGGTGATATTTAATTATCTGAAGGTGGTTGAAGACGCTCGTGGAATTTTAACCTAAGTTATTTTTTTTAATTTTGGATTTCGCAAGGGAAACTCAATCACCCAAAATAATCTTCCCTTACCGAATGGACGATTAAACCTATAAATTTTAAAAAACCACCAATGCTTTTTTTCTCGATGTTGATTGATTTTTCGGCCGAGTATGGCATTGTGGCCTGTTAAGAAAGCTACATGCTCTGACGGCATATGTCCTTCAAGAAGTTCAAGTTATACCCAAACACTGTATCTTTAACTGCAAACCTCGCTATCGCACAACTGGAGTCCTGCGAGTCCCTCTCCATCACCGCTGCTATATGCGCTCTATACGAGTGTAGTCTTCTGTCAATTTGCCCTCACAGGCGGGTCACCGTTTTACGCCAATTATACGATGATGTGTTCACCGTCAAAGTCATAAGTCGTTCAAGTCGAAGTCACTCATTTTACTATGGCAGCACCTACGGTTTCATCTAAACGCGTTTACTAGCTGGTGTCGTCAATGGGACCTCTCCATTAAAGCGGTAATAAGCAAGCGCTTATTATAACGAAAAGACGCCAAACGCTACCGGCAAGAAAATTTTGTGGTGTTCTCATCTAATAATCTGGGGGTCATTATAGATTATAAGCTGTCGTGGCGTTAACAAGTGAATTTCTTGGGGGCGAAAGTCAAGTCAACGATGTGCAGCAAAAACCTTTCATTGTGCAATAAGTGAAGGTTTTATGAGCTGTGCACACGGCCGGTCATGATATATACATCTCCTGACTAGGCCTCCGTCTTGTCGGCAATAATGTCCTCTTCTCAAGTGCTACACAGCGCCCCGAGCTACAGATTGAGCTGCTGCCCACAAGTTTTAAAAATGATGCCCGTTCGCCCTCTACGAACGGATAGCCGGAAACGCTAATCGCCCTAACGGAAGAACTCACTTACAAATTGTGGGACTACGCACAATACAGCCGGCTGCGCGACGCACACTCTTAGGATGACCAGTTAGAAGCTAATTTGGGAGTTTGATTGAACGTGAAGGACACTTGTACACAGGGATGTCTAAAAACCTTTTTTAAAGCTCGTGTATTCGTTGTTAACTCGATCGAACACTAGGAAACGTCATTTATAAATAAATAAATAAATGATTATACTAACCATCTCAATTGAAGGCGGTCATTCAATACAATAGTACAAACGACTAAAAACAAACTATATAGTCAATAGCAGGTAGTTTAAATAATTTCTATAAGTAAAGAACAATCTTTTATAATGGTCCTGTCTATTAATATAAAAAAACATTTATGCGTTAGGTTGATTTATTGTTTATTTTACTTACCTTCATTATTTAACATTATGATTATGGTTGCTATGACTTAGTGATGATCCTTTTTTAGTAAAGGCAAATGCTGTAAGTTAGCACTGTTACTTTTCGTTTACTTTAGTCAACTTCCGTTAATTTTAGTCAATAAAAGAATACAAGGATTTTCGTAAAGCTCCAACAATAGTCTGTTAGTACATGACAACACTGCAACTTAATTGAATCAAAGTATGAAGAAAGTACTAGTCGTCATCATTTTAAAACCCTTAAAGGCCACGTTGCATATCAGGTTCTGAGCAGTAGAGCTATGTTAATTTATTGGCATCCGACCGTTAGCGAGGTTTTCGCAATGAGGAGGAAAGTATTTTGGTTTTAACGAAAACAACTCATCGTAGTGAAAATCCCAAATGAAAATGAAATTAATTTGGTTCTTACATTATTGAATAACATTGTAACATATTTGAACGGTCTTAATATTCCGTCCGGACGGCCGTGTTGTTGAAGAATACTATATACATACCGCGACCGTCCCGCTTGCAACAAGCACAGGTATTCAGTATTCTCATAAGCAGGGTGCTTTATTAGCAAAACTAATTTATACTAAACGTTTTAACCTCATTTTACCCTCTTAACTGTTTTTTTAAAGCTCGACTTCTCTATTAGAACGGTATGGTAGATAATAATTGTTGCCAGCCCTCAAAAAAAGCTTTTATAACACTTTTAGTAGATAATTTTGATTCTTTTACGTACAATCTTTTTAGTCTTTTAACAACTGTAAACAATTGCAGTCCTATCGTCGTTAGGAATGACCTTCCTTTTCACGTTATTGAACCTCTTTTGAAGTATATTGACAATATTGTTATTTCTGCAGGTCAACTTGATATTCTTTAGTTCAATATACATGATATGAACTAAGGAAAACATAAGTAGGTCCCGGTAATCCTGTTAACGATGATGACTTTGGCCTTTGTAAAGATATTATAAAACGATATTCCGGCCCTATTTTAGGTGTTTGTTTGGGCCTTCAAGGTTTAATTTACCACTCGGGTTCTGGGAAAGTATTTGCGTACTCTTTCCAACTTTAATTACTAGTTATTAATCTAAATATTTTAGATTGTAGCTGCTCCTGAACCTTTTCACGGAAGGGTCAGCGAGATATTCCATGAAGATTATGAACAGCCTCTTGAATTATTTTCTAAAATCCCATCATCATTTAAAGCTGTGCGCTACCATTCCCTAATGGCTGTGTTGTAATGAAATTTTTTATATTACCTGGAAATAAACTTTTTAATTATATAAACCTGTATTACTTATAGTAACATATAGTTATCTAAAGATGTATATTTAATGACAAAATCTTGTTAGCTACGCGGATTTTATTCCTTATCTTATTAAAAAGAAATTTTTAAATTTTTTAGGAATAAATTTAGTAATTGCTTATTGTACAACTTTGATTTTACTATTTTTTTGGTTTACTTTTTTTAGTATTATAAAAAGAATGTCTTGGATCTTTTTTTTAGATATGAAAACAGTGATTTTAAAGTTATTGCAAAAACTGCTGATGATATCATTATGGCTGTGAAACATAGAAATCAGCACCAGTATGCAGTTCAGTTTCATCCAGAAGTAAATATTTATGTATAACTAAAGTAATATTACTTATATTTATATAAAAAAGTCAATTTGTTCTTTTAAGGGAAGCAAAATTCTTAAAAATTTTAGGAAAATTACTCAAGAGCGCGTAACTATTAATAAATTACTTGAAGATATGTATTTTCACTTTTATATATAGAACAAAGAAAAGAACGAATTTATTAATGAGGCTATTGCTAAACGCTTTTTTCATCTTTGTTACTACCGGCGCTTAAGTGGCCTTAACAATTTATATATAAATTCAAATAACATTGGCCTCAGAACTGCTATTATTAGTAATACAAGAACTTGCAGAGACTTTAAAAAGATTCTGTATGTTTTAAAGCTTGAAAAAATAAATCATTTAAAACCTGAAAGAAGTTTTCGTGAACTTTTTGGATCTAAAAAATTTTCTTTTTGGCTTGATACTTTTGAGGTGACTTTGGCGTTAATTAAAATAATTATATATAGTCGATTTACTTTATTTTATTATTTGTTGTTAGCCTAATGAACGCAACAGGTTTTCATATATGGGTTATGCTGGTAAGCATGGAAGGTATATTTTAAATTTTAATAAAGTTTTTAAAACTCATATATATATATATATATATCTTTATATATTATAATATAGTAAAGTTTTGTATTACGATATTGCCACCCGCCACGTGCTCATTTCTACTGGAAAGAACACAAATTCTTATGAGCTTAAAAAGTCGCAAACGTTTTTTAGTGTTGTAGAAAACGAAGTTCATGCAAGGTTGTACGATCAAATGCTTTGCTATAGTTACGATAAACATGCAGGAAATATTGTGCCATTGCCGATGGACCCCCCCGTTGCTCTTCCCTTTGACTTTCACACGGGATTGGTGGGTTATTTTGGTTATGAGATGACTGCAGAATCTCTTGCTTCTAACGCATTTCACAAACGAAAGATATATGATAATAAAAGTTCTAGCCAACAGCTCCCCACCAGCGCTCTGCTTTTGTGCAATAGAGTTGTTGTTTTTGATCATCATAAAAACGATATTTATGTACTTCATTTTAAAGATTTTACATTACAGCCGCCCATAAACATTGCCAGCTCAGGGCTTCATTTATCTGAGGGTGGTTGGCTGTTTAAAGTTATTAAAAATCTTCTTCATATCCACACAGTCAACTCATCAGAAGAATGTCACAATATTAATATAAGTCCTTTACCATGTAAAACTCATTCTTTGCGTGTAGTAAAAAGTAAGAAGAAGGAACCATCAAGTATTGAAAAGCTTGAAAAAACATATTTTTCATTAACTCATAGCGAACGCACTTACAAAAACCACATTCGCCATTGCCTCGAACATATAAAGAAGGGTGACTCTTACGAATTGTGTCTAACGTCTCAACTAAAGTCCACATTCCATGTGGACCCACTCGAACTATATATGGAAATTAGGTTTTTAGAATTTTACTAAAAATTAACTTTTGGCAGTTTTATTAGTATATTTTCCCACTAAGAAAGTATAATAAGGTCCCAAATGGATGCTTTTTGAAACTTTCGCAGAGTCAGTACGTTCTCTGCGTCACCCCTGAAGATTTTTTATTGGTAGACCAATTTGGGACTGTTGAAACTAGACCAATTAAAGGAACCAGAAAAAGGGGGTTATAAAGCCCTATTAAAATTCAATTAACGGCATATAAAGGATAGACTTAAAATGTTAGAAGCACTAAGGAAGAAGACTTTGAACTGAAAACCGATCTTGAAAATAGTGAAAAGGACTTTTCTGAAAACTTAATGGTAGCAATCGCCCCCAAAGTTACCGGTTTGTATAAGATTAGCAAGTAATACTGCTTAGATAGTGGATCTGATGAGAAATGACTTAAGTATGGTCTGCCGGCCTGGATCTGTCCACGTGCCTTCTCTAATGCAGGTTTTTTGTTGGTTCATTGCACTAAACTGATTATGTTTGTGCTAATTAAATATTTTATAATATTGGTCGAGTCTTACCCAACGCTTCACCAACTTGTTAGTACCATTAAAGGGGTTTTGAACCCAAACGTTTCTGCTGTACGCTGCCTTCAAGCCTGTTTTCCTCCAGGTGCTCAAAAATATTGAATTCTTTATCTTAATGAGTTATATTTAACTTTTTACTTTCTTCGTTAGCCCGTATTTTTGTTCCACCGATTCGTCCTTATCTTTTTACCCCGCCAATATACAGGGAGTATGACAGGCGCCCCTAAAATCCGCTCGGTTGAACTTTTAAGGGATATAGAAAAGCAACCACGTGGGGTCTATTCTGGGTGTATTGGTTTCTTGTCTATCCATGGCCCAATGAAGATGTGCGTGGTCATACGAACAGTAGTGATCGAAAACACTGGTTCGCAAATATATAAGAAAACTTTCCTTACGTTTCATATTGTCTTAATAAATTTTTTAATCTTTAAATAAAAACCGTTTCCTTTGTCTAATTTTCATGTCAAAAACAAATCTTAAAAAATCTATTATTGTTATTCGTTAACAATATATTAACATTTACTACAATAGAAAATTTTAGACTACGAAATTTATGGGTTTACACGTTTAATGTCTTAAAGAATATAGCAAATAAAATCTAGTAATATTAAAAAAAAAATTTAATTATTAAAAACTCTCAACCCTTTTTTGCTAAATATGATTAGTGTTTATTAATAACATAAACTTAGTTCATATGTAATTATTTATATACACTTTACCCTAAGAAGATGTATATAAGAATTTTTGTATATTGGAATGTGTTTTATAGTTTAAACAGATGATATATAAAATTTATGAGCAATTTACTAAAGTTTCTTATAATAATATCGTTTAATTTAATAATTCGTATTATAGCACTTTCTATTGGCGCTGGAGGAGCTATTGTGGCCTTATCCAACATTGAAGATGAATTTAAAGAGTTTCTTTTGAAAACTAAGAGCCTTATTCTCAGCGTGCTCCGTTTGAAAAAAGTTATACCTGAACATACGGATGGAAACTGCATAGAAGTAGTATGTGATAAAAGTAATTCACGAGGGGATTCTAAAAAAGTCTATATTAAAATAAAAAATGTAAGTTAAAGTTTTGTTTTTTATTGGCAAGGTGAGCGACGTTATAAATATTTTCAGTCTGTTTAAATTTTTTTTCTTTTAAAAAAAGTTTAAAGAATTTATTATAAAGACGTTTTTTACCTATAAGTACGAAAGAAATATGTGCTTCTAATTATTTCAATGTGAAAAGAAGCAGCTAAAAACCTTTGGTAGTGTGAGTTTCTAACACTCCCTTATTAATAAGAGATTCCTTTACTCTGAACAGTACTTCTAAATTATTACCAAAACCAATTTCTTGTAAAACGCCCAATTCCTAGAAGGAAACCTATAATTTGATCAGTCACATTTACTTAAATATATCTTTGCTGCGGTATTGAGAGGTTTGAATTATTATAGCAATCTCAATGCCGCCCCCTCACGTAGGATAAGACCAACACTAAGGAGCGCTTACTGCCGTTGACTAAATGCTAAATTGACTATCCAGTTTTTATATATTAGATACCCATTAATCGAAAATCACGTTGACCACAGTCTTTATTACTTCAGCGTAATAAAATGTTCTGCCTTTATAATGTTAAAAACCTTTTCTTAAATTTTTATATTTTGTTTTTTTCCAAATCTATTATTAGATCATAATAAACTTTTATTGCTCCCTAATTTCGTTACAATTAATATCCCTTCATTAATTTCTCATGAGTCTGATATTACCGACTATTCTGATTTTTAAATGATAATTCTTTTGTAACAGGAGATTTTTCAAATCTCCGTAGGGTTACGGTTGGCTGTGGTAGGAGTTTTGAGGGTTTGAGGGTTCGAATTTTACAAAAAATTACGAATACTCCCCCATGGTTTATTAGTAACCTCTGCAGATATTTACTGAGGCAGGCCTCATTACCAACAAAATATTTTTACAATTAGCGAAACTCTGAACCTATTCATATGCTATAGATTTCAAACAATTTTTACTATTCTATTCTGAAGTGATGTAATAACACTATTACCCAATAAAGCTAATATTAAAAAAAAAAAATAACCATAAAGCTGAAATTCTGTAACGTATCTTTAAATATATACAAAAATTAGAGGTTTAAATTTTTTATAGTTTGAGTTAGGATTTGATATATAATTTCATCATGGTTCCAAAAATCTGGTTAATTTAAGCTAATTGAATTTTTATTATAGGTTTTAAAGGAACTTTAGTTTTTTGGTACTTTAGGTGTATTACACTTTACCAAACAATTGTATATCGTAAGCTGCACTGATGTCTATAGTTTTACTGGAACCCCTCGATGGTTTAGCTTAAACCTTTATTTAAGATAATATTTTGTTCTATTAAGTAATTCGAACTTATAAATTAGTTGTTATAAAAGTCTTAATTTTTTTTTAAGTTATAAATATGCAAACAATACTGAATTTTAACAACTATTAAAAATCTGAAAGGTATCGTTGGCTTTTTTTTTGCTTATAGTACACCTGCCAAATAAAGAATTGTTACGACAAACTATATAGCTATAAAAGATCTTGTAAAGCAGATAAATATAAGAGCCTCGACGGAAGTAAAATAAAGTCAAAGAATAAAGAGTACTAAATAGCAAGGACACCTGAAGTGCTGAGAAAAAATGTAATTCATAAAAATGTCATATAGCTCCTTAGTAAAATATTTATACTACTAATAATAGAGATACAAACAAAAGTATGTAAAACGGTTCACTTGGTCACAAACTCTACCTTAAAAGATTTTATAGTTGAAGTATATATATAAAATATATATTTATGTGATAACATAGAATGTAATAAAAAAAAGGTAGAAATAACATTTATTTTAAGTAAAAAAGATACAATAAAATGGGCCCTATAACAAAGACATACAAAATTCTATTCACCCTCACAGTTCAACTTTAATTCCGACCAAAAATAAGCAAAGCCATTAACCATTAGGAAAAGTAAGAGGTAAAAAAAAATTTAAGAATCCTTTGCAATAAATACTTTTTAGTTTATCGACAACCTTCTTTAAAAGACCAAATCTACAGAAAAATCTAAAAATTTCTAGTAAAAATCTACAGGCGGTCTGCGACGGGCATCAAACAAATTTAAAGATTTTCCTAAAGTAAACGAGTCAGAACTTTTGTATATCTTCACTATTTTTTTATGTAGTCTAACTAGAATGCGAAATAGAACCCAAATCAGGAGCTATTGCGAAAACTTACAATACTCAACTTTATAATGCCTGTCTTGATAACCTTCTGTGCCGTGTCCTAACGTTTCATCTTATTTACTCACGGTAATGTAATCAATCCATTCTGTTGAGGCATCAACAAACGTAAAGGGGGTTTTTTAGTTCCTGCAAGAGAGACTGGTCATTCGGGGTATCTAAAGCCTCAGGTATCGGGCTTTTAACATCAATAGGTTTATCAGCACACTGATTATCATAAAAAAATCTAAAGGTAGCTCATCAGACACAACCTTGCTGACCTTTGGTCTTGATGCTGTCGTGCCAACATAGGGCATAGGTTGCCACAGCTCAGTGTCATGTTCCCTCAAGGAAATCATGGGCGGATTCATCCCGTCCAAGCTGCTGCTAGATTGAGGTAATCCAGTACGCATATATATTTGGGTGAAATGTTTCGGCAAACTCCTGTTCATTACCTCTGCTGGAGCTGTAAATCAATCTGAACAAGCTCAAAATATGAGTGAGTGGCAATACCATCAAGAGCCAAACCAAAATTATTTATATACGGTTTTCTGGCATCAATAAGAGATTCATTAGGGTCAAAAACGTTTATGCGATCCAATAATTTAGTTTTCGACAACTAGTAGCTTCTATCTCTTGCCAGCAGCTTTTAAACTGATATTGGATCGGCAAAAAAAAAGTTGTAGCTAAAATCATCGTCAGTAGCTTGAAATATTTTAAATTTTCCTTTATGCTTAAGGAGATCATGCCTCAAACACACCGTTTCTTCAAAATCCCATTTAGCTTGAATTAGCTTTTTAGGCCGCACCTCAAGCACCTTGACTACTTTATACAATTTTTCTTTTTCTTCATAGATAGTAGTTTTTTTTAAGTATACAACTGAGTTAAACAAATACCTTTGAAGTTTTTATTTCCTGGAACAGTTTTAAAAAGGTTGGTATATGACCTCTTTTTAAAAATGATCTCTAAAAATTTTTAAAATTCTTCGTTAGTGAGTTTAAATTGTCTATTAATGATTTCAGTCATACACCTAAAGGGAAGCTTTAAATATGATTTATCAACCAAGGAAAAGAAAGTTAAACGCATATAACTCTTGAAAAAACCGTCATTAGTGGCACTCGCTTTGCTGAAAAGGAGTTAACTTTGAAGTAGAAATATTAACTCTTAAGATTCCTTATTTATGTTCGAATGTACTCATCTACAATAATGTCCAAAGCCTCGCTCTTTACCACAAATCCCGTGGATAAAATCTTTTCCAAGAATCTCTAAAGGGGGGCTAATTCTTTTATTATAATGCATTATGTTAATTAAGGTTTGCGGTATTTCAGTTTTTCTAAGTAGTAGATCTTTAATTGTATCTTGAGGAAGAATCGGTAATTACAGGTTTCTTCCAATTGAACACAGCACACTCCGAAACAGACCGGGGAGGAAATGGACATTAGTACCCTCCCCATTCAAAAGAAAATTCTCTTAATACTATCTCAAAAATATCCGTACAAAGCAAAAAATTACAGTCAGAAGAGAAAAAACCATTAAAAAAGTTTCGATCAATCGTTATAATCTTTTCGCGAAGAACTAACGTTTGAGAATAGTAGAAGTCGACCTTCTAAACATTCATCTCAAAATGCTCCTAGCCAATCAATGAGCTGATGCCAAAAGGGTAAGTTAAACTACACTGCAACCGGTTAAGGAATACGTAGATTCCAGCCCCTTAAGGACATTTTAAATTTTTTCTCTTTCCCGCAGCACTAGCCGTTTCCCTTAAACAAAGGTGTAGCCATAATAGTTACCCGTTAGTAGGCTTCCAGAGGTATGCGGATAATAACCACTCTTGTAAGGCCTGAAGCAATTCAGAAGAGTACTGTAAGAGTTCATCTTGTTAGCATCAAAATTTTTGTAACACTAATTATTGTTCTAAATGAACGAAGTAATAGCATTGTAGTTAGGTGCAAGATTAGAGAAAAATAAACTGTGGGTATTTCAAAGCCGAAACTTTGAAGGAAAAGGACGTCAATAAATATTGAATCAATAACTGTTCCAAAAATTTGAATGACTATGCCTGCTTTTGAAAATGTGAAGAGGCTAAGATTTAAATTTGTTAACTTTGTATATAACTTTAAATTTTTCATTATTATATAAGGATTCTTTATCAATAAAGCTTTGGAGGTAAAAAAACTATATTTTTCTCGCTTAGAAAGCAATTAAGTGCTGAATAATACTTATATAATTTCCCATTACTACAATGACTTTCATAGTTGATTTTATAATGGTTGGAACAAATTTTTAAAAAGGAACAGAAGAATTCGAAAGAGTTATAAAATTGCATAAAATATGAAACAGTTGTAAATAAAAGCATTATCAAGCCTGTCTCTCTTATTAACCTTAAAAAAAAAATAGTAATACAACCAAAGTAAGTATAAGTTGATGATAAAAAGCTCACTGGCAAGTCGCTGACCTTAAAAAAGTGATTTGCAATGTGCACTATATTTGATCTATTTAACAGAGGCTGTCTTCTTAAATTCAAAGTCATATCAAACAATATTAACTTACCAAACTCTTCAATATCTTAAAAAAAAAGCAGCCATTAGGCCATCAATAGCCCTTTTCAATAGAGTCATATTTTAAATAGAAGAAACACGAACCAAGAGTGCTTTCTAAATAGATCGGCGACTTCTCCTTCAAAGAAGTCCTGGAGAGACACAAAATAAGATTTAAGTGCTTAAAGGAGGAAGAACAAATGCCAAAAGTGTAGTAATACACAAAGTCTATACCACCTTAATTTTACAAAATGTTGCCTACCAGTAGGAATAAATTAATAAAAACTAGCGTTAATAACCAGTGCACTTCCCGATAATGTACATATACATGAAAAGGCCAGTTTGAACATAGCATAAGTTTAAAATTACAATTCCTTTCTAGGAAGCGAGTGTTTAAATAAGACGACAACAAATGGAATTCATAGAAAAGTAAAACGGTTTCATTAGTATTCCTTGTTAAAACAGTTAACTTGACAACATATTTAGTAATAGAGCAGGCAAAATCTAGGAATCGTATAAAATTTACAATTGTCGTCAAGTTAAATAAAGAAAAAAAATTCGTGATTTTTAATCAAAGTAACAAGCCTAAAAATTATAGGTAAAATAACGAGTATTTTAATAAAAAAGGATGTATTATAGATTTAAGTAATAGAATAACTAACTAAATAATAAAAAAATATATTCAAAAATAAACTAAAACAGCAAAATGAACAAATAAAAACAGAGAAAGCTGGAGACCAAAAAGACGAAGTATCACACTTTATAGTCCTGGCTTACTACAGATGTGATTACGATCGATTGCTACTTAATTTACTGGAAATGAGGGTGTAAAAACCTTAAGTTTCTTAACGATTCTATGCGCCATTAACGAGAACAGAGGCGCGTTATCATAGCTAAATAGTATAAAATGAAAACACGTAAAAGCAAAGTAATAAAAATATATATTAAATGTTAAGGAGTGAATTAGTTCAATTCCATAATATTATAAAACAAATATATATAATTAAGTTGATATAATAAACTATAACCTTAGCCCTACCCCTCCCCCCTTTAATAGGTCTAAGAAATGTTTTGACCGCGAGTACTTGGCAACCAACTAGATCATAAATTAAGAGTCTGTCTAATAAGATAAACTCAAATAGGCTCGAGGTTACACTCATTATGTAGTTAGCTGTTGTGCACAAACCAAGGGGGCGTCCACCACCATTTTAGGATGCGATTTTGGAGTATTTGTAGCCTATGAATATTTGCTTAAAAAATAGGCACAAGCAGTAGGTTCATAGACCATTAGCGGGCCTATAGCTACAGAAACTCTTTTTTAAATGTAATTTGCTTTTCCTGCATAGTAAGGGATCTAACACGACTCTAACTTTCCTGATTTTAAATTGACTTAAGAAAGATGTGGAGTTCAGCTTAGTCGTTCGACCACGCACAATTTTGAGATATCTAACCTTCTTACTTCGAGAATTGACAGTTTACTAGAAATCTAGGTAAGTACCTTCCATTTGTTATGATTACAAAGCTACTTTTCGGCTCGTTAATTATTAAACTCCCTGATAAACACCATGTCTTAATTACTGGCAACTGTATGCTTTTAAACACCAGACAGGAGGATTTTGAACTATAATATAAGGCTGTGTCGTCTACATATTGAGCCTAGTTTCGATTTTTTCGACAATTGTGGTATTTCGCACACGTAGATGGAAAAAAGTAAAGGGGTTACTAAGAAACCTTGTGAAACACCCACCTTTAATTGACTAAAAGCGGACTTCAACGAACTTGCTCTAGCGGTAAAGGATCTATTCGTTAGGTATGAGGTGTACCTCCACAGTCAAGTAAAAAAGTAAGCTAGATAGTCGTGCCCTATTTTATCGAAGAGCCTTCTCAGTATCTAAAGGACCACAGGTGCTACTTTTTTTTTTATCAGAAAGCTTTTGTAGCTTCTCTCGTAAGCCTAATTATCTAGTGAATTGTAGGGTACTTAACTCGAAAACAAAATTGAATATTAGGCAGAACGCACATACCATCCAAAAATTCTTATAATTAACAATGGACCCCGCTTCTGCCTCCTTTCCTAATGAAGAAACAAGCTTATTAGGTGATAATCTCTAATAAAAAAGTTAGAGGGACTAGTTTAAGGAATGAAAATTACTTAAGTCAATTTCCACAGTTTGGGAGAGTAGGCTGTGGTAAGTATTTTATTAATTAATCTTAAATTCATAGAGATAGCTCGTGGAATTTAGTTTTTAAGCATTATCGGTATCCGAGGCTTCTCTAGTATTAAAGGATTGGATAATAGTTTTAAGTTTCCGCAATGGTGGTAAGCTTAACCTTGATACATATGTTAGGTCCTAAAAGGTAAGAAGTAGTTACGATAGGCACATGCTAAAAGCGGTACGGATTCTAGTATATGTAGTGGGCTTCCAGGGCGTCAGCAAATCCCTCTACTATTTCGGAGGGCTTCGTAGCTGAGGCTTCCAGCGCCATGAATGAGCGGTGTTATGCCCCTAACCTCAGTAGATGTAACGGTGGTTCTTGTTAATTTTCTTAAAGAATTATTATCTGACCCAAAAGTCTATATTTTTTTTGCCATCTCTTAAGAAAACAAGCTTTCAAGTTCTCCTTAACCTCAAATATTGACCTTGTTGTAAAGTTTTCTATCGCTTGGAGACAAGAGTTTATACATCTTGCTTTCGCCTTCTCATAATTTGAGATCTAATGTGGCCTAGTAGGTTATATTGTTGGTTTTTTGTGGGCCTACTATAGTTCACCTTTATAGCTCCTTCCATTGGCACAAAAGCCGTGTCCGATTCAAGTGCTTTGCCAATGAAGTGCTGAATGATGAGTATGCTTTTTTCTAAATA